GGAACCTCACGAGGCAGCGTCCGATGTCGATGACCAACCTGATCGTGGACACAACAACGCAGATGAAGACGCTGACATGGAGGATGGTCCCGAGGTCGATTGGGAGGACCCCAAGACCATGTAACTCGCGCGATGGGCTTAGAGAAGGACTATGAGTAGTCCTTGGAGGGCGGATGTAAGGATACGCACCCGCGCTCGCTACCGTATTCGGCCAGTAGATTCCTTATTCGGCTACTCGCTACTATATTCGGACTCTAAGCTATACGGCTCCTTCGGAGCCTTCGAGTTAATCCTCTTCGCATTCATTTCGTCTCTTCTCGTATTCTTCTATTTTCTGTCTCTATCTCTTCTATTCGGTACATGTAATCTCGTAGTATAAAAGCCCAGCCCATGTACCTCATACCTAAGTCTTTTTCGAACACGAATCTCTTGCTACTCATCCCTGTGAGAGACTCGAACGTTGAAGACTTTCCGTGGTGTCGCTTATCTAATCAGCGACCTCACACTGATATAGTCAGGTGTTCTACTAGACACATGTATACATGTACATCATCCCTCGTCCGTCTTGCCTAGCAAGCATACACATGGTTTGATCCCCACGCCCGTTGAACACCGTTCTATACCAGCCGTCCGGATGCTATACGGCGTTTAGTAGGAGCTACAACCTGGCTACGAGTGAGCCTTCATCGACGCGTCGCGGACTTTCGGCGCGCAGGGCGCGCTTCACGTGACTTGCGACCAATGAACGAGGGTATGACGGCATCTCTTTGCGCCGCCCTGCACCCACAACTGCAGGGGACGGCAGGACAGCTTCATCCATGACCCGCACCGACGTCCTCGGCTGGACCGTGTAAACCAAAGAACTCTGTGGATATTATAAAAGGCCAGGGCGTGGCTAATAAGACCGCTTTGGTTATCAGCACGGTCTTCCGATACCCCGCACGACCCCATACCCCGCCCCGCCCTGGTTGTTCTTGGTTCTTGACCTCTACCATGCTCGCTTTGAAGGCGGCGTCTTGTAGGCGGCTGCCTGCTGTGCGCGCGTCGCGCCTTACATCTTTGCGGATTAGGTGGTACAGTACCCCTGTCGAAGCCGCGCTGCCCAAGAAGAAGAAGGTCTGGGACTCGGCAGATGAGGCAGTCAAAGATGTCAAGTCGGGGGACATGATCCTGAGTGGAGGTACGCTTCGATAGGTGTTCTTGCTGACTGCGGCCTTATATAACCATGCGTGCGATGTTAGGGTTCGGTCTGTGCGGTATTCCAGGTGAATAGCGTTCTCTGATAGCTGGGTTGAAACCCCATTGAGCATATAATAGAAACACTCTTGGCCGCGCTTTCGAGGCGGAAGGAGGTCAAGGACTTGACAGCAGTGTCTAACAATGCTGGTCTTGGTGAACACGGTTTAGGTGCGGCTCTTTGACCAGAGCGCTAGGGATGTGCTCTAACGAGTCCGCAGTGAAACTGTTATCCAGTGGGCAACTGGATCGGTTAATCATATCATATCTTGGATCGTACGTACAAGGCTATGACATCAGATGCTTGGTCTTCTAAACTGATGAATCCGCCAGTAACAAAGCCATCGAGGCTGCGTACTTGAATGGGGAAATCTCCCTGGAGCTAGTTCCTCAGGGTACTCTGGTAGAGCGGATGCGTGCGCATGCCGCTGGTATCCCTGCTTTCTTCACCCCGACTGGTGCTTCGTCGCCAGTGGAGTATGGCACTATCCCCATCCGGTTCAAGCCCGGTGGAATGAAGAACGGTGTCCTGATCACCGGGAACAAGAAAGAATCAAGGGAGTTTGGTGGTCGCAAATACGTCATGGAGCCTGCTATCGCCGGAGATGTCGCCTTCGTCCATGCTTGGAAGGCGGACGAAGTCGGTAACTGTGTCTTCAGGTAGGTTTTGTGGGTATTGCTGGATGAAACTCCGGATGAAACGTCTGTCTCAGATATGCGGCCAACAACTATAATGCGATCATGGCACGGAACGCGAAACTGACCATTGTTGAGGTAAGAATATTAGGCTGCGAACGCGCGAGCTGGCCTGACCGAGTATCCTTCACAGGCTGAGCACATCGTCCCCGTTGGTTCTCTTTCGCCCAACGCTATCCACTTACCTGGTATCTACGTCGACCGGATTGTCCCTGCCACGGAACCCAAGGAGATCGAGATCCTGTCTCTTGCACCGGATCCCAATGCACAGACCGAAGACTCCGCATCGAACGCGGCGAAGGCAGCAAAGGATTTGCGACACAAGATTGCCAAGCGTGCTGCTAAGGAATTGGGTGATGGCTTCTACGTTAACTTGGGAGTCGGGATGCCCACGTTGGTCACCGAGCACATGCCCCCTGGTGTCAACCTCTGGTTGCAGAGTGAGAACGGTATCCTCGGAATGGGTCCTTTCCCGACCAAAGACCAGGTTGATGCCGATATCATTAACGCTGGAAAGGAGACTGTTACCTTGTTACCCGGCGCTTCGGTCTTTGGTAAGGCGCGATTTGGTCTATCCTATGTTCCAGCCTTCTGACGACTTATACCAGATTCTGCTGAGTCCTTCGCCATGATTCGTGGTGGGCACGTCGACGTCTCCATCCTTGGTGTAAGTTGGCGCATTTTCGCCGATGGCCCCGAATTCACATTCTCGACTTGGCATTTGTAGGCTATGGAAGTCTCCCAAGCTGGTGATATTGCCAATTTCATGGTCCCTGGGAAGCTTGTCAAGGGTCTGTCATGTCTTGCGCGTGTGACTCCCTCCCCGATTGACGCTGACGGGATTCATAGGTATCGGTGGTGCTATGGACCTCGTCTCGAACCCCGACAAGACCAAGGTCATCGCTGTCCTTCAACACTGCGCCAAAGACGGCACGCCAAAAATCCGCAAGGAGTGCACATTACCACTCACTGGCGCTCGGGCAGTCAGCCAGATCATCACAGAGATGGCAGTCTTCAACGTAGACCGGCAGAAGGGCAGCCTTGAGCTGATCGAGATTGCTGAGGGCCTGACATTAGAGGAGGTGAAGGCGAAGACGGAGGCCGAGTTCACAGTCAGGGAGCCCCTAGGCCGGTTCTAAGGAGTTAGCATCTGCATGGCGTCGAGCATCATTAATCCTTGTATTTATTAGCATCATCCACTTCGATAATGAATCGTGTACTTGTTAAATTCTCGCAAAAGGGTTTGCGCAGCTGCGCAAAGACCGGAATGATGACTGCAGTTGATTTGTCCACCCGACGGGGACTCTTCGTGTTTCATCCGCATGGTGGTTGTTACCACGGGTTGCCAAAGCAGACGACGCTGCTGCAACGCTTGAAGCACTTCCGGTTAATAACTTATCGTCTATTACCGACCGCTACGCATGCCAGGCTGCCTTTCTGCTCTGCTGTAGGCTATAGGAGAAGCTGCCGACGCTGCAGCGTGCATAAGCTACCTGCTATATATATCCGACCCAGCCGAAGAAGGTGAACGCTTGAAGAGGGCAGCTTCCTCAGTATCACCTCGGCCAGCGCTACCGGTGGAGTCTCTACCACGCGTTCGACGTTGCAACGCCCGCCAAAGCTTCTCTGCTGTACGCCCCTCTTGAGGGCACCCAAGTCCAGCTGTCATGAGCTGGTTCACGTCGCTTTTCTCGTCGGACAGCTCCCGCCGAAAGAACCAGGCCATGTCCTCGACGCATGAGGCTTTCTCTCTTCCGACATCCTCGCCCATTTTCCCCAACCATCCAAACTCTCTGGGAGGCGACACGCCCTACACGCCCGAACCCGAGTCCGCGTCGAGTCCGTATACGTACCCACCCCCCTCAGCCGGAAGTATATACGATTATTTGCCGACGTCGTATGTCCATGTTTCCGTGCAGGTAAACAAGTGGCAGCTCGTACTGACACTCTTGTTACAGTGCTGGTGGTTCACGGTCTCGTCCTGCTTCCCTTTTGCCCATTCACAACAAACCATTGTCCCCTTTGCCACCCTACCCTCCATTGGCGCAGACATGGCATCGACTCCAAACGTGGCTATCGAATGAGTACCCTGAGTTGGGGGATACATTGAATTATGGCATCCTACCTCAAGACCTCGCTCAAATAGAGATGCAATTTGGATTCGAGCTTCCAGCGCCCGTCCGAGAGTCGTATCTCGTTTGCGACGGACAAGAGCCGGAATCAGCCGCAGGCTGCTCCGAGGGTCTCTTCTTTGGCTTGACCTTGCTTCCTCTGGAGGAAGTGCTAGAGGAGTGGAGGTTTTGGCGAGACGTGGACGACGACCCTATGACCGGCGCAAACCCGAAGTTGCGGGAGGTCATGCATTCAATACCGCCAGGCTACGTCCGGAAGGAATACTCTTCCAAAGGCTGGATACCACTCGTGGCTGATCGAGCTGGCAACTATCTGGGCGTGGACCTCAACCCCGCCGAAGCAGGCTCTGTGGGGCAAGTCATTATATTTGGTCGAGACTTTGACACGAAAGTTGTCATGTGGAGAGGGGATGGCTCCAGCGGGTGGGCCAAATGGCTTGCCAGCTTTGTCGAAGAGCTCGAAAGCGGGGAGGGCTATGAGCTAGGGGCCGCGAATGATGGGAGCGAAGGTAGCGAGGACGACATTGGGTACGAAAGCTATTTCTACGGTGGCAGCGGCCGTGGTCAAGGGGACGTAGGAGGGGATGCGGGCTCCGGAGGGCTACGCCTTACCGGGGAGTACAGAGGGTGGAATGTTTTGGAAGCTTGGGCAGATCGTAGTGTCAGAAAATGGTTGGAGTCTGGTCTGGTGACCGAGGAGACTCTCGTGCCGTCAGAAAAGGGCAAGGTAGGCTATATTTGCCTATCGTCAAATCTCGCGATTAATGTATGCCACTAGCGGCGAGAGTCATTTGTGGAGTTGGCGACGGTCAGCAAACAGTCGGACGCTGAAGTCCCCATCCCGGTACTGGCGGATATCGATGAAAAGCCAGAGCTTGGTCCTCTGACGGAGAACAGCGCTGAGGGCACGGATAGAAAAGTTGGACCTCGGCAACCTTTGCCTACTATATCCGTTACCAAACCACCTGCCCCTCGGCCGGTGGACCTACCGACACAGGAGGATCTAGTGACCCCTTCATCCCCAGATTCAACTCCCTCATCACCCAGAGAGGGTGATTTGGAGAGCGGCGGTAATATGATGAAGGAGGTAGAATTACCTCCGCGGGAACTCGTCACACGGACCCAACCTTCCCCTTCGCAAAAGCCGGTGGCCAACGGGATACAAGAAGCAACTCTGGTGCCTTTACCTACATCGCCGTCTGGCTCATCTCCCGGTGCTTCGTCTGGCACGACACCACCTGCTCCTTCAGGAGGGATGTCGGACATTACGGATCTACTCGCGGACTCTGCCCCCGCGTTAAACGCTCAACCTATTGAACCTGTTTCAAGTTCTCCTAGTAAGTCTCCTGTCAACAAGCCAGTCCCAAGTACTGCCAGTGCGTCTGCTACGACTCCCGTAGCCGAGGAGCAGCCCGAGTCAGGCGGAAGCGATGATAAGGATGAGACTGCGACCATTAGGCTGGTGGGCGGAGGAGGTGTATCCGGGACGAGCGATGAAGTGGTGTCACCTCCCGCTGATGGAGATATCCCGGATGATGCTGAAACTGAGGGCGCCGAGCTGGCTTCTGTGGTTCCTCCTTCTAATGAGGCATCGACTCCCAGCGAGAAGAAGGGGCACGCGAAGAAGAAGAGTAGTGTTTCTTCTGGGTTGAAGAAGTTTGGAGGAGGCAAACGGAAAAAGGACTCGAAGAGTAGTATCAAGGACGATCTCTGATGATACGGTGCGGACGCGGTTTGACTATATCTATCTTTTGTGGACGTTGGACACCTTCCGCACTGGCCCCAGTCATCCTCATTCTTTTCGTGCCGTTCTTTCCTGTCTGCCTTCATCCTCCCCAATGTACCATCTGCATTCCACGTCTTTTATACCCATAACCACGATTAACTGCTGTCGTCTTAACTATTTGCACGCTGCTTGGGTCAGACGAAGGTGGGCGAGGAGACAGCCTTTCTAGAGACGTTACTCGACATCATACATTACATTCCTCTTGGATCAATATATCCCTGTTCAATAATCGTACATTGGTTTGGGCGGACATGCAGCAGAATGTGCCCGGCTCAAGACAGCTTTCAAAGTTGCAGCCCCGGCCTCCCAGGCGCTCGCCGGGCGTACCTACCATATCTGGTAGTAGATGAATGACGAATCTTGAACCGAACCGGTCCGAGCCACTACCTTTCCTTCGCGGCCACAACCTGCGCTTGTGGCACTGAAGGTCATCAATTGTCGAAGCCTTCGCGTGTTGAAGCCCAGCAAATCAATATACGAGACACGTTAGAGTGACCCCCAGGCTGCAACGATGGCGGCGTCGTCCGTGGACGTGCGTGTTGAAGAACGAGTGGCACAGTTAGAGTGCGTAAACGCCACTCCTCCCCCCTTGTCGCAACACGTACAAACCCGATTACTTTACTTCGTGCTCTAGAGCAATCTCACAGCGTCGGAATGAGCTCCTTCGACAGATGTACTATCTGCTTCGCCGACGGAAGGATGTTCACGCAATGCTAGAAGCGACGGAGGACCACGATGACGGTGTTGACCTGGAGGCTTTCTTGGATAGATTTGACTTGAATAAGCAGTACGTTGGACCCGTCTACTATTCATGTATTTACTTATGCCAGCGTACCACAGCCCGGAAACAGGTGGTATTGAGAATCTCGCCGAAATTGACCTCCCACTGGAACCGCTATCGCCCCGAGAAGATGATCGGTCTGGCGACGATATTCAGCCTGCCACGGACGGGGACAATCCGTCACTGAAGGCTGAATCAGATGGTGATTCCGACTCTCCCATGTCTGAATCGCCCCTTTCGCCCGAGCCTAAGGATGGACAAGAAGGTCCTACCGACGCCCAGATTGAGGAAGACTTACAGTATCCAGAGTCGCCTGTGGAAGTCAGTAGAGCCGAGTCGGAATACAGGACTGCTTCTCCTGCCTCTCCTGAACATGATCGTTCTGAAGCCACTGCACATGACGCAGAGCATGGGCAGGGCTCCTCTCCTGCAAGTGAAATGCTGGCAGAAGACGTCCAAGGAGACGAAGACGACGACGAACGAGACGAGTTAGATCTGATCAGCAATCGCTCCTCAACTTCGCCATATCCTCAGGCTTCGGTTGCTCATAGTGGTACTCCCCACGCACGGCCTACGTCGGCAGACGAGGAGCCATCCAATGATGAAGAGGAAGCGGATGGGGAAGAGCTTACAGCCAGAGAACAGGAAGTTGATGAACCAGATGAAGAGTCTGAAGAAGCCAGAGAAGACGAATGGGAGGCTCTAGGCTTCAACAAGCATCTTCAGGAAGAGGATGACAGCGATGCCGATTCGAATGCAGATGAGAAAATCGTACCAGAACAATCGAATCCGCGTGAAGCGCAAGAGAGGCTGTCGAGAGAAGACGATGGCCGGATTTCTGAGGTCAGGGGAAGTCCTGAACATGAGCAACCCGCAATGTCTACTTCGCCGGATATCTCAATGGAGGTCGTGGAAGAGAGGGCTTCTATCGACACGGAGGACCAACCAGCGACGGACAAGGCCAGGTCGGGAGAACTACAGGCTGAGCAGCAGACGACCCTCTCTCCCGAGCATATCGAGGATTCGCAGCAAGTTCCGAGTCTGCGGAGGGATGCGTCACTCGAGAATACGGTGCGCGAAGCTAGAGCCGCATACGTTCAGCTTGCATCTCAGGACACCAATATGCAAGGAGTAGTGGGGAACATTGACTTAGATCGGAAGTCCGCTGCTCCTTCAAGCGCAAGGGAGACTAGGGATTCCTCAGGAATGTTCTCTCCTCTGAGTTCCGATGCTCAAACGCCGGAACGTGCGGATACGCACAAGCGCCCTTCTCCATATGTCATCCCTACTCCTTCGTCTCCCGTCCACGAATATCCCGCCTACGATTTCACTCCCTTGTCACAATTGCAGGAGTCTCCCTCCGGACGCTCAGCTTCGGCTGCTGGACATGGGCCCCGAGTGAACCCATGCTACACCCTACCCCCATTGAAGGCCCTGCCCTCGGAATTCAATCGAAAGGGTAAAACTCTCAAACAGCGCAAACGTGACAAGGAGCGAGAAAAGAGTGATAAAGGTTCGGAACGAGGAGATGGCAAAAGAGACGGGAAGGACGACTGGATATCCCTTGGAGCAAATCGATGGGGAGCCACAATGCGCGCAAATCCGGTGTGGAAAAGAGTCTCCCGCGCGCAGAAGTGTCTAACTACTCGAGAGTGGAGTGTAGGTATCACTGCTTGTCTCAGTGTCCGCCTAGCTAATCGAGGCGCGTCAGGTGGCTTACACAGAGCTGCGCTTTGTCCGAGCCCTAGACCGGGTCGAAAGCCTGAAGGATAAAGGGAAATGGAGCTTTAGGCAGCCGAAAAAGCAGAGAGCCGTCGGTGTTACGAATAAGACCCATTGGGATTATCTGTTGCACGAAATGGTTTGTTCAAACACTTACACATGGGTTGAGTTCTGACCACTTATTCCTCTAGCAATTGATGCGCATTGATTTTCGCGAAGAACGAAAATGGAAATATGTTCTAGCGTTCGAACTAGCTTGTGCGGCTGTCGATTGGCATCTGGCTGGAAGCACTGAGGAAAGACATAAATTGGGTATTTCGGTTTATTGGAGACGACCCGCACCACAGCAGGAGACGGAGCCTCAGGGTGAAGTCATGGAGCCGGAGCAAGAGGACGAAGATACGCAGCAAGACGCTAGCAGCCCCGATGGCAAGAACCCCATGTCAATGATAGACTACCCATCATCTGAGGCATCTGATGACGAGCAAGAGCAAGATAATGATCAACAGGAGAACGATGTTATCGACGACCTCGCCGGTGACACTGCTTTCCAAGATGTTCTCCGAGATCTGGAGCAGGACAGACTCAACGCAGATGCTGCAGATGCTGTGCCTAAGGTTGAGGACATCGAGGACCAACACATGATGTCTTCCGATCCTCAGGAGAATGGAATGGACGCGTCGCGTGCGAAACTGATGGAAGGTGATGCCGCCCCCATCAAGGCCGAAGAGGATGCTTCATCCTTGCCTAATCCTGCATTGAAGACGGGGGCTTCAGATCCGGTCCTGGGCTCTCAAGTGAATATCGGAATGAGCACTCGTCAGGCCTCTAAGCCTAATCCATACAACCCGTTAAGAGACAGCATCATATACTCCGACGCCACCATGTTATTCTTGGACCTCAGCGATGCTGATGGAGTCGGAGAATTCGCCAACTCGGGTTCACAGCAGGATCCACTAGATGTACCCCGCCCCCCTCCAGATTTGTCCGAGGTATTTCCCGAGCTTCGCCCTCTCGAAATGCTGGACCCGCCATCGAGTGCAGCCCCTGTGGTCGAAGGGAAAAAGAAAGGGGACAAGAAGGAAGACCCGCACAAGAGAGTTGACGACACTAATATAACGAAATTAACGCCTGTCACGCAATTCATGCAAGTTAAACCCACATTGATTGGGCCTGCCCAGCCCTCTAAGAGGTGGAGAAAAGGAAGATGGCTCCCTTCAGAGGAGCCTCTTGTTCTCCTCGACCTGGATAATACTCCTCCCCGTGTTCAGCCGGAAAGGATGCCCCAAAGTGGTATGCGCCCGAAGTTGGTCCCAGAACTTGCCGTAGTCCTGACGTCTCACAATACAGGGCTATTTGTCGGGCATAAGCAAGCCAATGGTGAAGGCCCAAGCAGAGAGCATCCTATGATGCCCCAACCACCTAAAGACGCGAAGAAGAGGATTCTCGAATACCCATGGACGGCCCCCGAGGATTCACTTCTGAAGTCTCTCGCCGACAAGTTCCCCAACAACTGGCTCCTCATTGCCGAATGTTTCAATGCTTCGCGAGTGACGTTGAGTACTGATAGACGGACTCCCTGGGATTGCTACGAGAGGTGGTCGACGAAATGGGGTAGTGGCACGACCTTGAAGGAGGTAACGGAAATGCCTCCTCCTCCCCCACCCTCTACTCAAGGACAAATGACCACTCGGGGTGTGAAACGATCTGTGAGCGCCATGCAAAGCCCTAGCAGTCCTAGTCCATCAAGCATTGCGCCAACACCAACAGCACTCAATACTGAGTCTCGTAAGCGTCGCAGACATCAATTGATTCACGAGACCATGCGCAAGGCTGCCAAGCGACGCGAGGTAACCATGAAAACAACTGGTAAGCACTCCATGCAGCCGTTGCTCTAGCACTTCTAACCCGAGACTCATTAGCAGTTACCCAGCGGAAAACCACCGCGGTCCATGATACTCATGGTCAATACACCAACCTACCGAAGCACACACCGCTGGAACTCAGTCGTAAGAAAGCCGAGAAGGAGGCTAGAGCAAGCCAGGAACTACAGTTAGCTAGGAGGCAGGAGGAGATTACCAGGCAAGCGCAGCTTCGTAACCAGCAGGCGATACAGGGAGCCCAAGGTGTCCCGAATATGGTAAATATGTGATGCTACAATATTTCCATGCATGAGGCGATGATCAGTCCTCCTTGCTCTTAGCTTCAGCAGGCTCAGATGCTACAACAGCAACATAATGGTGCCGCTAGGATTGCGAACGGACTGGCTGCTCCAGCGCTGCCCCAAATCCGTAATCAGGTCAACATATCTCAGCAGCGCTTACCTAGTATTAATGTTCCAAACACTCGCCTGTCGGAACAGCAGATGGCGCAAATGCAAAATAATGCTGCCCAGGCATGTCCTCACTTAGCTCCTTCTCATTGCCGCTGTTAATATCATCACATCTGTGATTACTATCATGTTTGCCGTGCATTTTCTAAAATTGGGGGCCATCTCTTTGCAGCAGAATTCTCCCCCTCGCAACTCAGCCACGCCGACCAATCCGTTTAATCCCCCTCGTCCGCCGTCTGTGCAGCCCCCACAAAACACGATCCCGACAATGCAAGGTGTCGCACCGAACACCATCCCGCGACCCCCTATGCCCAACCCAAATCAGTACTACCAGCTCCAGGGTGCAACTTACGGGAACGATCCTTTGGAACATGCTCTACGTATTCAGAGTATGCAGCAGGTGTGTTCTGCCCTTTAGATAGTGTCTTGTCCCTGAAGCCTCGAAAGTACGCCGCTCGATTCCATGCATTGCAGGCCCAGGCCCAGGCACAACAAGCGCAGAACGCCCAATCAGGAGGAACTCAGAACAATACGCCTCAAGCTAATCAGCAGCAGCCAACGTATCCTCAATCCTGAATTATTGCACGTTTTATATTATTCGTGGGGTTAAGCATTATTTCTGACGAGCATAGTATGTGTACGTTTTGTACTACGTAAGATTTTGCTTAATGGCGAGTTTGGCCTGACCTTGCAATTGGACACGTTCCGCGAAGAAAGTTGCAATTATTCCATTAAGTGAGGCGTTGCGGGACTCGGGACGCGTACATAAAGAATCACGGCGCTATGTCCGATGCCCTTTTCTCCCGAAGCACCTCGGTCCCTTCGCCACTATGCGATTCCAATGCGTCATCCTTTGCATTAGGATGTTTCTCTACGTTGGCAATAGGTCCCTTGAACCAATACACCCCGCCGTAACCAGGAAGATAGTAATATATGAGGCATAACGCCATCACGCCGCCGAGGACTACCACAGTGTAGTTCATATCAGCTTCAGCTGGATCTGGATCCGTTGGGAAAAGGAAGATGACGATGCAGAAGGACATCCACAATACCGCAGTGAACGCAACTGGGAGCCCCTGCATGCATGAACGAAAGTTTAGCGGATGTGAGTATCTGAGCGAAGAATACAAACCCATGATCCCAGAGTAAACGGCCCAGGCCTGAAGCCGTTCTTGAATGCATATCTAGCGGTGATAGGTATGCAGTAAGCGAGGTACTGCGCCGTAACACAGAGAGTGAAAACGGCTCCGATAGCCGCGGATCCTGCGAAGGAGAGTAATCCTAAAGCAAGAGCCGCGAACGTGGTGAACCATACACAGTTGACCGGAGTCAGAGTATATGGATTGATACGGTAGAGATATCGGGAGAAAGGAAGGGCGCCGTCTCTAGCGAACGCAAAGCTCTGCCGAGATGCAACAGTGAGCTGGGCATGATATCCGTTAAGTAGCATCCTATGCGGGGAAGGGAGGGACCAAGGCACGCGTACCACACTAGTTCCCATCAGGTACCTATGATTTTTCAGTGTACGACCACCCATCAAAGAGGATATGACTCACTGGAGTGCTACTATTATTGCCCAGATGGCTAAAGTCCCTTTCGATCCGAAGCTATTAAAGAATATCTGGCGGATTATCAGTGAGCACCTACGGCAGAGACAGATTAAAACAGCTCACCGCTGCCAATGGCTGTCCGATAGGGCTGCTGACAATACTCTCGAGATCCGTCCCCATGCAAAACGTGATCGCAACCGTAACACCTGCCCGGAGGACCCAAGTTAGGTGGCCTTGTAAGTTTGCAGTGCAAGTGAATAGTTACCCCAGCCAAGGACGGCCGCGATCATGTTGGCAAGGATGATTGCCCACGGAACGGCGATACTTGCATTAGATGCCTCTTCACTGATGTGAACACAAGAGTCAAAGGCACCTGATAGTGCTCAGGACCTGCTGCAAGGAGGTTACTGCATTTTCTTTCTTACCAATGGTCCACAACGGAGCAAGGAAACTCAGCACGAAAGCGAAGCCAGCTGGCCAGGTGGTCACTGCGAGGAAGTAAGCAAGCAAACAAGGGATGCAGGATGAATGTACTTGCAATTTTGGAAGCCACCGAAGGCAAAGCTGGCGTCGTTCATAAATTCTGACGGGGTAGCAGCAGGAAGGGCGATGATTACACCCAGGATCACGCTTATCACACCAGTCAGTCACAAGTAGTCGCACCTGCGCCTAAGAGCGCGCCACCTACAGGCTATTCAATATGACATATGGCGTCTGCAGTCTCGCGATAACTTTTGTCGCGGAACTGCATATTGCCGCTTGTGTGAGGAGGACGGCACAAAAGCAGCCGCTGTATTTGGGCCAATGGCAATGGGAGCATGTTAGTTTCGCTTACCTCTGAAACAGCTAGACTCACAATGTCTGGCCGGTCGTGGCAACAAATGTAAGATTGGAGCCTATGCTTGCCGCCGCCATAATCTGCACTGCACATCCCCACGCTACGGACGCAACTGCGCCAATATTTCCGATTGTGTTCGCATCTGTCATGCGATGTTAGCAGGTTGGTCAACCAGCAATAACCAAGTCCATGCGAATGATACTCACATCCCACTGAGATTGTCGTCAGCGTGTCAGTGAGCGACGGCTGGTTGCATCTGAGGGCTAATACTCACCTATCCAGCACAGTAAGTACCGCCAACGTGGCGAAGAGAAGGTAAAGGTCCAATAATATAAGCCTCCGGAAGTGGGGGCAGCAGATGCAAGCTCTGCCATAGCCAGAGCCATGAGGAACAGAAAGATGGTGCAGACTGCCCACTATACGCAAACGGAGAATCAGTCAAAGCGCAAAGGATCAACCTGAGGGGACTTACGCCCCATATCATAGAGACCGGGCCACCGTTCGGGATGGCATACACTAAGACAGACCTGTTGACGCCCAGGTAAGTGGTTTGACATCACGTCTTTGCCAACATGTCATACGCGATAGAAGGTACGACTCCTAGGATACTAAAGGCGACACCGAAGAGTTCCAAAGCCGTAAATTCCCGCTTGAACTCCTGCTTGTAGCCCAAGCTCTCGAGAAGAGCATCATCGCTGCTTTTGGGACCTCTGGATTGAATTGGCACCTCTGTGACGATGGTGCTATCAAGCGACTTCATGGTCGATTTCACGAGAACTCCGGTAGCCTAGGGAAGGGGCTGACAGACATCGAACGAAACTTCCCCCGGCTTAGATATAGAAATTATCAGGCTTGCATGACGATGGCCTTCCTTTGCGATTATGCTTGCGCACCCTGGGAAACGATAATGCAGATACGCAACGCCCCAATCTGCATCCAAACCCCGCGCAGGGGCGAGGAAGTCAGAACGGAGACCCGATAGGAAGCATACGAGAGACGTTATCGCACCTGATTGTAAGTATAGCACAGCATTGTCAAAATCTGGGCTTGCAGGACTTCTCTTCTTGCGAATCCCATCCGCCTGATATCCGGCGTCTATGCTTGTTATCTCATGGGACGGTCATGGCGGTATATGAGATTTACGGTGGGTCGCGATGAACCCATGCAGTCTGCGGACTGAGCGCAGTCATGGAGAGGTTATCAACTGTTGACTTGGAACCAAACGTAAGACGCCGAGACACTGGATACGATAGAGGCGGAACAAGAGTAGCGCCTTAACCCACAATCAGTTGGTCAAGGAGGACGCAGGAATGGCAGAGCGCTGCAAAGAATAGCATCCGACCAGTCATGGCCGCGCAAAGCCAATGTGACTTGAGCAGGGGCGATCCCTCATCCTATGTAAACACCCGAGGATGCTTGTAGGAGCCAAGCGATCGGGTGATAACAGAAGATGAAGAAGGCCGAGCACGGAATTCAGGATTAAATAGCGCGTACTGAACGGTGGGCGCTGGAGGAGGTAACGAGCCTCAGTTGCGGCGAGGAATAGTCAGTGCACAAGGGGCACTTCAAAGTCCTTCAGGTCGCTAGCAACCTCACCAGCAGACGGGGCATAAGCATGTTAATCGCGTCTGGCAGAGGTGTAGATCGTCTTCGATGGTCAGAACAGGATCGTTTGAGAAGCACGGCAGTCAAGGGGATCGAGCAGGAGTCAAAGAATTCGTCGAACTGAGCTGCATGCTTGCGAGAGCTCCTGACGTGTGCAGTCCACATCGTTACCATGGGAATCGAGCCTGAGGACATGTCGAAATGTCCTTTGATTATTACTGCACTCGATGCCGGGCGTCGACAGGGGACATCGAACAATGTGTTGACAGTTATCACGTCAAGTTCAGTTACATCTTCTCAGACCATCGAGAAGGTATGTCATTGATCCCTGTCAACTTGAACAGAATTACATTACGCTCCCGATCTATGGGCGAGATTGGTCATTGTAAGGCCAAAGGCTCAGAGGATGGGGTAGAAATCCAACAAAGTCTGCCGTCCTTGTAGGCACGGAAACAACAGAGCATCTCTGTTGAGGATAACGTTCACGACAATGTGTATCTCATCCGACATCGCCGGACCGAGAAGATCGCAGTGCATTTTACGGCTGCCCGTCGTCTGACGTTACTTCTAGTTGACCAATGCGTCCCCGAGTGTACGCTGGGACGAGAGGCTTTCGCGACATAATTGTTTGATCTCGCAGCATCCGTGGGGTTCAATTCAATAGCGACAGGCCAGACTGGATGCGCGGGCAGGAACGCCTGAGTGAACTTCAATGCTCGATTCGGGGACCCGGGAAAGCAGCGGAAGAAAAGAACCGGACCTGCGGGCTTCCACGAGCAGCCTGAGACTAGGTTTGAAGGGGCATAGCCAAGTGTGGTAGGTAGGATCAAACGCAAGTGCAGCATAGCCGGCCTCGAGGAGGGAGACATAAGCCGTCTGGCGTAGGTTGCGAGTTATGCAGGCGCTGTATAAACTCGAGGTTATGCCTCAGTTAGTTGGACTGGTGGTGGAGCGCCAGGGCGGACGAATGTCGACATTGAGACATAGAGAACGAACATTTGACAGACACAGACAGGTCTATATGACAGCAAGGAATGGGAGTACCCTGCAGGAACGTATACAAAGGCTTCTGACGGACATGACAGACCGCTGCCGAAATGAGTTCATGGAGGATCTCCATCGCGACAAGTACGGTGATCGCATGGCAGTGGATGGCAGTTAGCTTGCCGTTTGGCGCGCGGCGGTCAGATGATTTTGGAAGGCATGAGGCATGTTTCGGGAGCTCTGTGCGAGCAGATGCGGCTTTTACGTGTAGAGAAACAGGGAGGACGGCGGTGAGCTCTTGCAGAAAGTACGCGAAGCGTTGCGGGGACAGGAAGCGTTGAGGCAAATGGTTAGACGTTTGTAGAAATAAGGATTCGAGGGAGACCGGCGGGTGGCGCGGCAGGGGCGAGAAGACGGGCCGAGAAAGGAAAGGTAGCCGGGAATAGGGGGTGGCTCGGCGACTGGCAGCTAAAGACGCCCTCAGTCGAACCTGTCTGCGCCCTCTCCGTCCTCTGTTTTTTGGCTTTCACCGTCGCCGCGCAGGGCAGAACAGTCGCCCGTTAAGGTTTGTGTTCCATTGCACACAAAACCGCGCGGACATTTCTTCCATCCGTAAGTCCTTTCCGTCACTTTATAATATCCCCCTGCCTTTTTCACCGTGCGTGCGACCCCGCACCATCGTCGTCCGTCCTTTCCCCCTTCCGAGCGCTGACCCTTTGCCATGTCGCGGCTCTCACAGGACTCGTCCAAGACCCTCCGCAAGCCGCCTGCCGTCACCGTTACGCCCCCCTCCAACACCCGGGCAAGCATGGCGTCCTCGCGCAACTCTGCAGGCCCCAACGTCGCCTACGACCCGCTCCCCAACGTACCCGACTCACATCTTGACGTCAATTACGACGAAGACCCTCGTTTTTCAACGGCTCGTTCCCTCTCCTACCACACACCCGAGACGAACTCTGCCGACCTTCCCGACAGCGGCTCATCGCCGCCCGTGGCGCGCCCACGCTTCATGGGCGCTGCCTTGGCAGGCGAGACAGGCCACAGCCCGCGCGACTCGTATGCGTCGTCCAACAATACCGGGCCTTCATATGCGGGCTACGACAATGATTCTTCCGTGTTTGCGTTGAACCCCGACGGTCGCCGCGATTCAGGTACCCCTGTCCCTGTGTATCGCGATGACCCAGAGGGAGACCGAGGGACACCAACAGATCCGCAGGGCACACTTGCGAGTCCACAATACCTCGGAGAGAAGCATGCGCTCTATGATGCCCCTCGCAAGAGCTCCAGACGGAAAATCATCATCATCGGCGCACTAGTTGGTCTTGTTGTGATCGTGATCGCCATTGCTGTCCCCGTTTCGCTTGCAAACAGAAAATCAAATAACAATGCCGCAAAGAGCTCCGGCGGTGACCCCGCCCAGCCGGGCGAGACTACCAGTGCGGGTGGGAACGGGAATGGCGGTGGAAAGACGACGCTGGCTGTTACTGGCGGTGACGGCAGTAAGGTCACGACGGACGATGGGTCCACATTCACGTACTCGAATTCGTTCGGTGGATATTGGTACTATGACGAGAACGATCCTTTTAACAACGGCGCCAAGGCGCAGTCATGGACACCAGCACTGAACGAGTCCTTCAACTGGGGCATCGACAAGATTCGTGGGTGAGCGCATTCTGCTGGGTGCCTTTGGAGAGAGACGCTGACGAAGTGGTAGAGTGAACCTCGGCGGATGGTTAAATACTGAACCTGTGAGTCTTCCTTCGCACCCCTGTCATCTACCTTGGAGCAGGCGGTCCATGATTAGAGCGCACTATTGACCTGATCCTTCTTATCTGCCCTGCTGTAGTTCATGTTAGTACCTTTTCCATTATCCAAAAATATCGTCGGAACCTTAACTCATCGTCTTCCTTCTTCCAGTGTGCCTGCGCTCTACGAGAAGTACGTCAACAGCACGACGCCAGCGGTCGATGAGTGGACACTCAGCACCAATATGGCTGCGGATACCGCCCATGGTGGTCTCACACAACTGGAGGACCACTACAAGACGTTCATTGTGAGTTGATCCAGTGCATTGACGTCAGGAACGGAGCGTGGCATGTCTAATTTTGTATGCGTATTTTAGACTGAGCAAGACTTCGCTGAGATCGCTGGCGCTGGTCTCAACTTCGTCCGGATTCCCCTCCCATACTGGGCCATCGAGACTCGTGATAACGAGCCCTTCCTCGCAAAGACTTGCTGGACGTACTTCCTCAAGGCCATCCGATGGGCGCGCAAGTACGGTATCCGTATCAACCTTGACTTCCACGCTCTTCCGGGATCGCAGAACGGGTGGAATCACTCTGGCAAGCTTGGGTCGATTAATATGCTGAACGGCCCCATGGGCTATGCCAATGCGCAGCGGAGCTTGGACTATATCCGGATCCTTGCTGAGTTCATTAGCCAGCCGGAGTACAAGGATGTCGTGGTTATGTTCGGTATTACTAACGAGCCGCAAGAGAGTGTTGTTGGTGTGGAGAATCTCAGCCGATAGTGAGTGCATGTTGGATCTACACTGTACAGTGCTAATCTTTGGCCTTAAGCTATCTTGAGGCGTACAACATCGTCCGCGAGGCTAGCGGTGTCGGCGAAGGCAAGGGACCCATGATCTCCTACCACGATGGCTTCCAAAGTCTCACGTCCTGGGCGGATTTCCTGCCGGGCGCCGACCGTATTGCTCTCGATTCTCATCCCTACCTCTGCTTCGGCGGTCAGTCGGACGCTGCGATGTCGACGTACGCCAAGACTCCTTGCAATACCTGGGCAAACAATTTCAACGAGAGTATGTCCGCTTTCGGTCTGACTGGCGCCGGTGAATTCAGCAACGCCGTCACCGACTGCGGCAAGTGGGTCAACGGTGTGAACCTGGGTGCGAGGTACGACGGGACGTTCACGGGGAACTGGCCGTCGCAGGGCAGCTGCGACCAGTGGACGAACTGGCCTGCATGGGACGATGAGATGAAGCAGGGGATGATGCAGTTCGCCCTCGCCAGCATGGACGCTTTGCAGAACTGGTTCTTCTGGACGTGGAAGATCGGCAATTCGAGTGTGACCGGCAAGGTGGAGAGCCCTGCCTGGAGCTACCAGTTGGGTCTGCAGAACGGGTGGATGCCCAAGGACCCGCGGGTTGCTGATGGCACCTGTGGGAACACCGCACCCTGGCAGCCGCCCCTCAAGCCCTCGCAGACGGGTGGCTCCGGTGCTGGGCAGATCCCCGCAAGTGTGTCCTCCAGCTTTGCGTGGCCACCGACTGTCATCAGCAACGCAGGTGCTGTCACTTTGTTGCCTTCGTATACGCAGACCGGCTCCATTCCTACCTTGACGGCGGAGACGTTCTCGTCGGCCAAGTCGACGATCAGCGCTGGGAACGGCTGGGCGAACTCCGCGGACTCGGCGGGCATGTATGTGCCTGTTGCGACGTGTAATTATTTGGACCCTTGGATTGGGGATGCCGCTCCTCCATCGCCGCTGTGCTCTGGCGGCAAGCGCAAGAGAGTGGCCGTGCCAGAGCCTTTGATTACGCCTCCTCCCTCATAAGGGCGTAGGTCATTTGCGGCGGTAGGCCGTAAGACTAGCGTGATGTGTTTATGCAACTCTTACAGTCCCGGTAATCTGGGTGGGCAGGGTAATACCGGTCTGCTTCTTCTCTGACGATATTCCCCTACCTTACGGACATGGACCCTGCTTGTGGCAGTTGTCTTGGACATTGTTTATTACTTCCTCCCTATCGCTCCAGCTGTACCAGAACATTGTCTTCACGCCTTCACCGTCGTCGTACCGACTTCTTGTCTGTCATTACTAGCCAGTTTGTCCTTGCATCGTCTCTCGCATCACCTTACGTCTCGTTCACTAGTGGCTACAGTACAGCAGAGTGTTTGGTTTGGTACACATAACGTACAACATTCAACATTGACCTTGCTACTTGTTATCAGGATTAATGCTCGCCGCTGGTGGTGGCGTAGCGGTCTTCGAGATCTTCTTGACCGCCGAAGCCCCCCTCGAAGTCGTGGCTCTGTTGCTTTTTGGCGCTCTCTTGGTTCTGCTGTAATTCCTGGCGGATGGCTTCTAGTTGGGCCTTCTCCTAAGGGTTGATTGTAAGTGTCCCCAGTTGCTGTTGCAGTCTGCATGAGAGCTGGTACGGCGAACCTTGTCATTGACATAACGGCTCTCCTCGGCCTGCTCTCTCGATTTCCAGGCCCCATCCTTGCAGAGAGTGGGTAAGGCGCATCTCATAAATGGAACCATGGATTATTGCTTACTTGCGCTGTCGTTCCGGACATACTTGAACAATTTATAGTCGATGATGGTGTTCAGTACTTGGTACTTACAGTCGACTCTGTCTTAACCCATACCTGTCATAACCCATAACCTGTAATAACCCATAGGTTTTTGGCTTCCACCGACATGGTAGATAGTAAAAACCCATAAGTCTGCCGTATCCCATAACCCATAGCTTTCTGAAGGGTCATAACCCATAAAACAACCTATATTAGGAAGGTACAGGTCTTCCTTCTCACGAGAATCTGGACCATCTGAACCCTTAATTTTTGGTTCTCGTGGTATTTCAGAAGATAACCCATACCAGACTCAAGATTCCGTATCTAAACGGTGTCATAAACGACGTCCGGCCTATACCGGATAGGCTGTCTGTCACGTGTACTAGGTAGTCACACAATGTCACACATTCTGGTAACCCATAGTCTGCAGAAACCCATAACTTTTGGGTTCCACGACCCGTTATGGGTT